GTTTTCCTCTCCATGCAACGAAAATGCGGGATAGTCCCATCAACAAAAAAAATTCCACGAATGAAAATTCCTCCCAATACTTGATCTAGGAGTTCGCTTGTTTTCTGGATGGGGCACAAAATTATAAGGCTACGGAATTGAACATTAGTAGTCGTTATTCCGAAATTGAGTTGGCTGCTCAACGACGGTTATTAAACATCAATAAGAAGATCCCTGGTGGCTCAGGATATCGAACGTTCAATCAAAAACTATGTAACTCAGGTTCGAATCTCATCAGTGGGTGGTCGCTACGAATTCCGCACCCAGCTCACACCGACCAGCTGACGTAAAAATATCATCAGTGGTGGACGGATCATGGGTTAGAATCCTCTTGTCGTCAGGCAAACCGTAGGAAGAATCCGTGGCTTTTCTCTCCATTCCATGTAACGCAAATGCGGGATTTATCAAAAAGTCTACCACAAAAGAAAATTTTTCCCAATACTTGATCTAGCAGTTTCCTAGTCTTCTGGATTGAGTTCAAAATTACAAAGCTTACTGAGTTGAACATTGAAAATCGTAAACTCAAAATAGGGTTGGCTGTTCAACGACGGTTATGAAATAAAAGAATCTTATTGCACCATACATATGCAGTAAATTTTTCAGGTTGTTCGTTTTCATAAAAGAAATATTTTCATTCCTGAAATTTGATATAAATTGAATTCTCCAGAAATAAAATATGGCGTTATATTTCATAAGTAGCAACGTGTTTGCTGTTCAAAAGATGACACTTTCCACTCTTCGGAAACTAAAAATACCTCAATGTTCTATAATTGAACCAATTTTATGTTCTTTTCTCCGACAGCCGCAAGAGAAACCGAATGTTGTTCGAATGAGATATTGCGAAACGTTTTTGGTTTTCTCCCCTTTAATCGGTGGAGTACAACATCGCTGGAGGAAAGAATACTTTTTATTCTCTTGGGAGAAAATTGGAAAGAAACTTTACTATCGAGTTCGATTCTTAGATTCACTTTCAATTGTGACAAGGAAATTTATTCTCTTTTTTTTTGTTTTGCTATTTATTTGTTTAATAGCTAATGTACGGATGAGCAGTTGGAGCAGATCGAAAAAGTGAAAACGTCCTGAACATTTTGCTGAAAATGCAAGAACGTTGCGAATTATCATCATTGATAAATCTGTAAAATTTTATAATGACTTGATATTTTCTACCAACGCAGTAAATAGGCCAACAATCAGTTTAAATTAGATTTTTAAAAGAAAAGCTTAAAATTTAAAAATTAGTAGATTTTGTAGATTGGCTTGTGGTTGTGCTGAACAATTATTATTTTTAAACAATATCTGTACAAAATTTTAGAATTCTATTTCAAAATCTTTCGTCGCTTTAACGGCATTGATGATTGACTTGGTGAATTAAACTGTAAAAATTTGCGAACTAAATTATGGTGAAAAATACAGGTACTCAGGCTGTCGGTACAGTTGACAGTAAAATGTATTTTCACCGGAACAAAAAAATATGATATACCGTAATTTTTACAATAATAATACCATGAAATCACTGAATCATTCTATTGAAATATATATTACTGTAAAATTTGCGATATAGTATTCAACGGTAAAAGTAGATTTTATGGTTAAATAGATTTTACGAATAATGCACCCAAAATGACAATACTTTATGCCGTAATTTGATCCGACGTTTTTTACAATGTAAGGTGGAAAAATTTACTATTCTATATTTACATCTTCTGCCCCAGATTCAAACTTTGGAGCCATACATAACTGCACAAAATTTTAAAATTATTACCCGATACAATTGAGATAATATTTTAAAATCTTCTCGGAAAAGATAACTTTAAAGCTCAGCCACTAACTTATCAACAAAAGCTATGATTTCTTAAGATTTTTTATTTAATTTTAAACTATTTTTCATCAATGTTGTTACGATTTTCAAGAGTGTAGAGTAATAAGATTTTGAATACAATAGTAAATATTGACGGAATACACATCTTTTTCGTACTACCATTTAAAGAATTAAAATACTTTGACATTTTCGGTCTACTCTTATCAACCTCTTTAAGAAACTATCAGAAATATTCCTTCAATATCGAACCATGATAGGACNGTGCTAGAACATTGTGTTCATTGGCGAGCGAGCGCAGCGAGCCATGGTTCACGGCGTGAACCACATAGGATTGCGTAGCAATTCTCAGGGGTTGGTGAGCGTTAGCGAGCAGGGGGCGGAGCCTCCTAGTTAGAAATATTCCTTCAACATCGAACCATGATAGAACACAATTTTTTTGTAAATCTTTTGAACTGTTAATTGAACCATTTTCTTTTTTAGCTTTTCTTTTTTAACTTTAAAGAAATTACTTCATCGTTTCACCGCTAGTGGCAATGACATAATTTAATGATATGGTGACAAAGTTGAAATATCAAATTTGTGAATTAAACGCAAGCAGATCTATGGCAAATATTTTAAAAGGACAGAAAACTCAATAATATGATATAAAAATTCGAAGGAATGGATCTAAAACATACTCCAACAGCCGAAATTTTCCTCATACAGAGCTGAAACATAAAAATATTGTTTTGTCTTACCTGGATAAAATAAAGCAGAACAGTGGTTTTTTTGATGAAAAATTTTATGCAGTAGACAGGTAGGTACTTTATTTTCGTTGGACTAGAACTGCATAATGGGCTATTGGTGATGTTCTGGGAAACATCCCTGAGGATGATCCGAAAACATGCCATCCCAATTTTTATCCTCTGCAGAGGGATTTGCTCCACTGATTTGGTAGCCCGACGATCTGCGCGTAAAGACGAGCATTTTATGGTAGAACAGTCTTACTAGGACCGATACCGTGCATCCTCGGTCCCTACACAGGCTGGTCAAAGTGGCCACCCACCCGCTTACTGACCGCAGCCAGTGAGTCTTGATTTCGGTGTTCTACTGGAAACCGTGTCTTTATGATCAGTCCACTGTACGACAACTTTTATACTGACGACTATCTTTTAATTGCCAACGTTGTGTGAATTACCCATGGTCCTATATCAAAATCTATCGACACGAAATTATCCAATATGCATGTAACTTTTCCGTTGGCAACAGGGATCTAAAAACAACAAAGAGTAGCTGGGCCAGAAAATTTAGAAACAAGTAAAATGAACTTCTGTTTTAATTATACTTATTAATATGCACTGGTTACATAATATGACTGTATATAATAGAGCTATATTTTAGCTTAAATGATGGCGATGTTACGTAAGAGAAGAAAGATGCATTTCAATAATAAAGTTGAATAAAATGAACGAAAATCAACGTACTACTTATGCTAAATGACTACGTTGCTGACAAAAGACTGCTGTCTTCTAACTCTCAAATTTACAGATGTGTGTACATGGATATTAATTATTTCTTCAAAATATAATTTCCAGATAGCATTGAAATCAAATTGCAATGTGTGCAAATTGAATGAAATGTAAATAAAACGGAAATTTCATATGATGTATTTGATGTCTTTTAGAACTTCATTTTAAAAAGGGTACCACCATTCATACAAAGATAAACCAAATCCATTAGTATTCAATGAGCAAGTGAAGCGATCTATGAGGTTGAGAGAGTGCAGCGAGCAGAAGGTGAGGGTTATTAATAATATTTTATAACAATATATCCGTTAAGAAAGGTCTTTAAGCATATAATATTTTATTTATTAAATAAATAAAAAAGAAGTGTGACAGTCAAAAAGTTCTTTGCGAAAGGTAGTTAGTCCTGATGTTTGATCAAGTAGTTCGATTGTCTTCTGGATTGGGTTCAAAATCACGAAAGTACAGAGTTGAACATTGATAGTCGTAAACTCAGAAATATGTTGACTGTGCAGCACCGGTTATAAAATAAAATAAAACAAATATGAGACACAAGTTTTATATTTATTTGGTTCTTAAACAAAAATTTGTACAAAGCTACACAAATATGCAATACAAGATTCCAAAATATTTATGAAAAGTTTACAATTTACATGATGAAATAAAGTGAATTTATGTGAATACAAACCACCAAATTGCTTTTCTAGTAAGGTGAGTTAAAAACAAAAATAAACAATGAAAATGAGCAGAAAGTTTCGACTAGAATCTCTAATTTAAGCAATAACTATACATTATAAACGTTTCACTAAATATTATGGTAAAAAAGTATGTATAAAAATTTTTCTGTTTATTTTTAAAATTTATTTCTTTTTCATTTTAAGAAACGTTATATATTTTGAATTTCAACTATTATTTGTAAAGTTTAAAAAAGTATCCTATTTTCTTTGAGCAAAATATTAATTACATCATTTCATATAGTAATCAATTTTTTCAATGAGAAAGTACATAAATTTTTTCATGCGTTTAATGTTTATTGAATTAAAAATATTTTATTTTTAATTTAAATGCAGTATAATTTGGCAAAAAGTTTCAGGATATATTATACAGCTAAGGTTAGGTAATACCAATAGCAACCGGTGTTTTTCTCGCATCTGTATTTGTCGAAAATCTCATTTTAACAGATTTAAAACAATCACAATTAATCCTTACAAAAATGATTTCAGTATTTTTAATTCAATGTTTGTATCAACTAAAATGATCTTAAAATATTGATATTGATCGCAAGAGCTATATTTTTTGCTTGATATAAGCATTTGGAATTTTTTAAGGTTAGATCGTTTTTAAACTAAGCGAGTTTCCTGGGAAATAACTTACAATGTGCACCAAACGAAGAAATAGGAAAATATTTTAATAATGAAATTAAAAACTCTATAGATGATAACTCAGACTAAACATTTTATGCATGATTAGAATGGTATGTTTTGTGTTTTATTATGTTTAAAAAAAATCATGAAAAACTTTTTATTAACAAGAAACAAATTCAATCATTAGTTTTACTATACCATGAATGAAAACTAATGTTACATGTCATCAAACTCTTACAGATATAACATAATAAATATCAATACAATAATAAAATAACAAAGACTAGCATTTGTTTAATGTTTTCAAATCTCCCAGTACAAAATATGTATTATGTACACCAAATAAAAACAAATAGTCACATGATATGTAGATTCGACATGACATAAAATGCAAGGAAAACATTCAGTTTTACAACATTGACTGATTAACACTTACACATTCAAGCAAAAATCAGCTATTGTTTACTGGCCCCATTAATGCACATTGTTTTCTACAAAGTAACATTTCGACAAAAAACATTTCACGCCAAATATCAATTTCCATCAAAAGCTTATTAAAAATCCATATTTTCCAAAATATGCTTTATTTATGGCACATAAATAATGAACAATAAGACCTTTATAGTGAAAAATTACATAAAAGCAATGCCATCGAATGTTAGTGTTAAAAAATGAGGAAAACAAAATGAAATGCTGTTTTTCTAATCTAAATCATTACTCAAAACAATTGTGTTCGAAAAGTTCAAAATAGTTAGTATTGTTACTTTTTAATCCAAAATATTAGTGTAAAAAAGGAAAATTAAATTTATTAATATTTTTACTTTTCATTACTTAAAAAAATGAAACTGAAATGCTGCTCGACAATTCTTATTGCTCCAAAAGAGCAAAATATCAATTTAAATTAATAATTCTAATTCATATCAAAGAAAACAGAGAAGTCGAACAGCATTTTATGCTCCTTAATCCGAAATATCAGTTTTAAAATATGAATTCTAAAACAATTTCCTAACTGGCCAAATATATCACTGTAACAAATGGGGGGGGGGAATTGAAATACTGGATCAGTGCTCCTTTTTTAATCTCATAAGACCAAAATAACGATTTTCAAGGAATAAAAAAAGTACAAAATTAGTATAATAATTACTTTTCAATTTAAAATGATGATGTAGAAAATTTATATTGCTATTTCTTTTTAGCCCTTTTAGACTAGTGCTAAAAAAGGTAGGAAAACAAAATAAAATGCTGCTTGATCTGTTTCTTTGGCAGGTGGCAGTGATCTTAAATTCGTAATGAAAAAAAAACAAATGAATAAAAAACTTACAACTTCAAAAGTTGAAGGAGAAGAATAAGCGTTAAGTATGAGAATTCGCTCCAAATAAAATCAATAATAGCTTTCACTATGCTCGTATATGAATGACTGCAAAGCATGATAAACTGATATAATAATTTAAAAATATTTCATAATTCCTTGGTAAAATGAATAATTATTGTTCAATGATAAATTTGCAAAATTTACATTTATAAAACGATAAATCTTTGAATACTGAAAGGAAACTTTAACCATGACCAAAAAAAAATTTGTTAGAAGTGAGATTCGGATCTATACTACGACACTAATTTAAATCTTGAAGCATAAACGCATTTATTCAATTGAATCTGAAAATAAATCTTAAAATAAGCTTATGAGTTTTCTCATGATACTAATATCTTAAACTTAAAATATTCTCATAAACTTATTAGTTTTCTCAACAAAAAAAATCTACTTGATGGACAATCAAGCATTGCTATATAAGAATATGTTAATGAAATTATTTAAAATTGCAACATCAGTCATTGTGTATTTTTTTTTACCTTTAAAAACTAAAAAATTAATGTAATAAAAGAAGCATGCTTATATTCTAGCTCAATAAAAATGAGTCTTTTTTTTTTACTGAATTAGAAAAGAATTAAAAATAACAGAAATAAATAGTTCAGAAATCTAAGAATAGTTCTCCTTCAAAAAATTGGCTTCTTCTCATAACTTTTGGCAGCCATAGAATCACAGATAGTATAATTCTGTAATATTTTTTTTCAGTTTTGAGTCCCATATATTAATTCAATTAGCACTTGAGAGGAGTATATTGTAAAAAACTCTTTATTGCAGTCTCAAATATTGAAAACCTAAATATTAAAAAAGTAATCTGAGATAAATAAACGATAGAAAACATTTTCCTTTGATAAAAAATGAAGCAAATAAAGAGAAAGAATAAACAAACTTACTAAGTTAAGACTTAATGTATGGAATTATGAGCATTAGGAAAGACGTATTGGTATGTATGAGATTTTGTGTTTTGTTTAAAAACAGCAAGAATTTTGTAAATTTGTAAACCCAACAAAAAAAAGGTTACTTTCATCTGCCTTCACGTAAATCAGAGCTTTTGATGGACATTCCCCTTGCATTCCCATTTGGGGAATGCCATTTAGTAACATCTGGTGAATGACGTCTTTCCTTATCATTTATATCTTCTTGAGACTGGGAAGTTCTATCACTAATAATGGGAAGAAAATTTAGATTAGCTGCTGAAGTTGTTGAGCTATGGGGTGCACTTAGAAAACCGCGACCACTTCTATCTTGATTGCCTCCTAAATTAATAATTATGTTTTTATATACCGCACTACCAGGCGTATCATCACTTCCGGTGCTTGCACTTTCTTCAACTATGGAAGACGTGGCATCTATTAAACTGTCTTGACTCACTGTTGGAGAAAAACTTGCTTCAGAAACAGCTTCCTGTGGTAAACCCAATGAAGAACCCTCACCAGATACAGCTTGGAGCTTGTTGTATTGAGATTTCTTTCCTAACAGCTGCAATGCTTTTGCCCGTTTCATTTCTTTCAGAGATATCACTTCCTCGACATCGTAATCCATTAAATCAGCCTCCTCTTGCATTTTGTACTCAACTTCAACACGATCATCCACGTGACGACTCCTGGATCTGGACCTCCCATTAGCCTTCGATATGAAATTGACATTGTCATAGCCCATTGTCAAATGAGAAGCATCGCAGGAGGAGTAATGCCTACAACTGTCGCCAAACAGTGGGTGTTTGTGCTGGCAAATACCTGATTTTGATGGAGTTGTTATGTGAGAGTTTCCGTATTTCACATCCTCATCGTCAGCCATCTCAGAACGTGACATTCTTTTTCTTAAAGATGGTAGCAAAGCTTCAAGCAAATCATACGAAGTTTGACAGGCAACGTCCTCCACATGGGAATCAGCTTCCTCTGGAACTTCCTCAGCATATGCCTGCTTTATCATGCCGACAAGTCTTTTCTTGTCGTGTGATACACCAGGTGAATCTTCTCCATTGGAAGTACTTCGCTGAACTGGCAAAATAGCAGATCCTAAGCCTGGAAAATTGAAAGAATCTGTTCTTCGTAGACGAGTCCGTCTGTCTAGAGCTTCGGCCGCTCGTACTGCTCGTATGTGTTGGGCAACGTTGGCAGCAATTTTATCTTGTTTACTGATACGCAATCGTAAGAAAAAATTCATGCTCGGCCTGCGGTTGGGGTTTTGTTCTACCTTCTGTTGATTTCTTTGCACTAGATCCAGAGAAAGGTTTCTGTGAAAAAACAACAATATAATAATGAGTTGAAATAAAAATGGTTTCATTAAATATAAGAAAAATCAAAATTTACGAATTTTTTGTTTAATAATTTGATCGTAGCAGATAATCTGTCATGCGATCAAAGCGATAAAAAAAACGCAAGTGCTTCACAAATGATTCCAATAAAAGTGGCTTGATAAATTTTTTCTTTCTATTGCTTATTGCTATGAACGCTAAAAGAGAATGCTAGGAAACAAATAAAATCAAAATTTATTTTTGAAAATATTGTTTTTATCTCTAGTTTATTATAGGAAGATGCCAAATTCATACAAATCTCAATTTTGAATTATTTGTCACTTACGCTGATTTTTCTTTCCCTCGTCAGTAATCCTAATCATGTTTACTACTGTATATTAACCCTAACACTATCCTATACTAAGGCGTTTTTTGATTAGCCGCAACTTCACTAATTTTAAATTATATATTGTAATTTTTAGCTACTTATTAAAAACTGAAAGAAATTTGTATAGAAGACCAGTAACTCTTTCAATAGAAGAGAGAAATTCATGATCATTTGACACTCTAGAAAAGCAGGGAATTTTGTGTTTTAAATTTTCATATGTTAAACTATAATGAAGTTAATGTAAATAAATTTTAATTTTTTCTAACATATCTATTAATTACGAAAGCTTTTACTCAATAAGACGCCTTTCGTAAAATCATTCCCTGTCATTTTTCTAAAGATGGTATCCCCAAGTTTGATAAATATTACTTAGGATCTCCTACCTTCCACTAACAGTCTAAATTGTATTCTCTATTCATTGGTTTCGATATTTAAACTAATTTCAGGCCGGCATAGTCTGGTTGGTAGGACGTTGAGTCCATGGTAGTGTCCGGGATAGCCTGGTTGGTAGGGCATTGTCCAAGAGACCGTGAGTACGATCCCCGACGGATGAAGAATACCCATGCAGTAATTGGTGACTGGTGCACGTAAATCTATCTGAATTGGAAATTGATCGTTCTCTGGTTCAAGTCAAACTTATGATCTGAGTATGAATGAATGGATGTCTGAATGGGCCCGGGCTGTGACGTGTGTGTGGCTGAAGTCATATTCTTGGCCATAGATAACACCACTAATAAAAAAAAAATGTCTCCTCTACCTTAAATTCCCTTGGTTTCATCTAGCAGGCTTGCTGGTATGGTAAGTAGCATTAGAAACAACGACTAATTAACTTCAAAATACCATAACTGAAAAATTGGCAAAGTTGCTCTGAGAAGAAAATTGCCCAAAACAGTACTCGACATTTATTAAAAAATGATTCTGCTTGCATTAGAAGAAACAAATTAGCACCTGTCTAATTAAATTTTGTTGATTTTTTCCCAAAAATACATTAACCACTTACATGATAATATTCCAAAAATAGAACATCGACTTAGAATTTTAATTTCACAAGCAATCAATTACGAAAAATAATATTTTTACATATATTTAAAATTTACATTTTAAAATATTTTTTACATTGTGTTTGATTCCATTTCCATGACTGTTTATTTATTTATTTCAAATTTCTTTCTTAAAAAACATCAGCATATGGTATCCCAGGCAGAGGCACATAATCTTTAAAAAAACATCAGTACAGCGTATACTATACAAATAAATACCAAACCGCATATTTGCAACAATGTAAACCTTAGAAACACATCAGTATAGGATATACTAGGCAAATTTACATCAGGCAGTTGCACTTAGTTGCACATGAAATTTCACGAAGGGACTTTCAAATTAACCAAGAATTTGAAAGCTCCTTATCGCTTTAAAAATAAAAAAAAATAAATTTATTATTGTTGAAAAAAAAATTTTAAATTACAGAAATAAATAAATTACACTAAATAAAAAATTACTATTATTTGAAAATTACGTAGTTGAAGAAATAATTTGGGAACATTAGTGGAGAGACTGCAATCCTATTAGAAAATGTTTTATTAGAATGATTATTGGAATGAAATGCTTTATTAGAAATGATTGGAGGAAGAGGGATGGTCCCAAAAGTTGCTTCTCAACAACCCTTTTCAAGTGAGTACAACATGTCGAAAGAGCAGTCCACTAGATTTTGGAAAACCATTCACTCATTTCGCTATCACCACTTTTTTTTTTTGGAAAATATGCACATTTTTTCGTCATTTTAAACTATGTCTTATTAACCGACGAAATGCAGTGTTTGAGCGAAATAGGTAAAATAATTTCTGAATTTCGAAGAAATCGTATTTTTAAATTTCCATTTCCGATGAATTATTTGTCATAATTCTTTTAAATTTTGCATTTAAAAATTGCATTTCGTCATTTAAAAATAAAAAAAAGGATTAAAATCCAAGAAAATAGGAACACATAAAAACTATTAAATATATTGACCGTTATTAAATTGAATAATGAAATAACCTTGTCGGTAAAGCACAAAAAAAATAGAAAACACAAAATAATTTCAATCTAAATAAAAACAATAAAATAAAAATAATTAATTTCGTAAGAAAAACATATAACAAAGGCAAAAAACATACAACATAAGGTAATAATAACAACAAAAAAAAACATATAAACCATACCAAAAAGTTTACAAAGGACTTCAAACAGAAATATATTCCTTCAAATGCGTGATTCTATAGTGTCCTGTTACGGTAATAAAACACTATTAAGTTTATAAAAATACAAAATAAAAATAAAATAGAAATAACACAACTATGAGATGAGTTTGGTTTTTAAATATACTTCATTTTTTTTTCTTGTTTGTTTAAAAATAATACTGTTAAAAATGATATTTAACATAAAATAATGTAAAAGTAATGTGTAAGTAAGCTTTAACTATGCTGCGCTCGTAATTATTTATAACTCATATTAATGCAAAACAGAATTACCCTACAGATAAAAAACAACATAATAGTCCCATTATCGCTTCATGCATTTGCATTGAATAAGGACAATGCATAATATAATAAATATTAAAAAAGATCCATATATCTTTGGTATTAAATTAATAAAATTTATAATAATATTTATCAGCAAATTGTTTATTTTCTCCTTATTGAACAGTAATTGCTAGTAATATTTATTAATCATTCCTTCTTAGCATTCTTAGTATTATTCCCTGTTTTAAAAAAAAATTTAAAAATAAAAACTTTAGATTTCAACTATTATTACTTATAATCGCTATGAGAATTCATCGTCAAACAGACTTCTGAACTTTTTCTTCTAATATACTAGAATATTCAAGCTTTAAATGCAGCTTTGAGTTGTATTAATTAAAAGTCTCAGTCTTTTTCTGAACTATACAAACAGGATTTATTTTTATATATTCCGCAAATATTTTAGTATTCACCAAAGTATTCACCAAAGACTGACAGTACTTTTCACCCAAATATCCTTTTCTGTATATCGCCAGTAAAATTTCTAGCTATATAAAATTTCCTACACCATCCCCAATAAACAAACTAATAGACACAAAATTGAAAAGAATTAATAATAAAACAAGGTCAAAAGCTTTAAAGAATGCATTCTTCATATTGATTGAGACAGAAAAAATTATTTTGGATTCGTCACATCTAAAACGAAAAATGAAGAACACATCACCATCATAACAAATTTTTATCACCTCTGTAAATAGGTTTTTCAAAAGTGATGCAACGTATATTCTCTGTCTCATGGGTGGAAAAAATAAAATTACTTTCTCCTTATTTCTCATTTTTCCTTCAACTTAAAAACAAAGTCTTCGAAGTTTTCAATTTCCTTCACTAATTGCAAAAAATTTAGATAATAGAAACCAAATAACTATTTAAAATTCAAAGCTATGTAAGGAATATTTTTTTAATCTTTCTTTTTAAATAATTTATTTACGTCATACTAGAGGTACACAAAGGGGACATTAGTGACTGTTTGGGAAATATATCCCTTAGAGTGGTCCGAAGCCATATCATCACAGTATTGATACTCTCCTATCTTTGGTTATCCGACAACCGAAGTTGAGCATTTTTTGATGGAACAGTTAAACGGCTTATACCACACACCCTCAATCCCTTCGCTAACTGATCAAAGCAATAACTCACCCACTCACTGACCACATCCAGTGATGTTTGACTTCGGGGATCTACTGGGAACCCTGTCTTCAACGATCAGTTCAATATGGAACAAAATTTTCGAACTATTTTTAAATAATCAATTTTATGAAAAATATATAACGAGTTTATATACCATCAAAAATTTAAAATTTAATTTTTAAGGACAAATTTTTAGATGAAGTAAATCACTGGCGTTTTTTTAAATATGATAAAAAAAAAAATTAGGTGATCTCTTCATTCAATACTTTTTAACTTTATTTAACATTCTGCTTATCGTAGAGAAAAGAAAAAAAACGAAACACAACAATGCAAGCATGGGTGTTGGTGAGCAAAGCGTGCAGGGGCTGGAACTCAATGCTGTAACGTAATTTTCTATCTGCCCTTATACATACCGAGGTGATTCAAGACTGAATTCTGATGTTGAATGAGATGAATTTCTTGATACTGTAGCAGCTGTGATGGGATAACCTAAAAAACAAACATTCATATGTAAGTAAACATTCATAAAGTGAACATTCAGTAAGTGCAAAGAAATATTATTTCACAATTGTGATAGAATTGGTAAATTGTTAAACTAATTATTTGGTTTTTAAATATTATTGAAATTTCAAGCAGTAGAATATATTCAAGGCATATCACAATAATATAAAACAATCAATTAGATTAATCAACTAGATATTGATCAATTAGAGACTGTATGCTGAATTTCTTTTAACGTCAGAGGTTACTAAGATTTTATTTTGAGTATATACCTTAAATAACTCAACTACCTAAAACACATAGACAGTAAAAACATCTTCATTTTGCAACATAAAAATTTTCGAATTTACATTAAAAAAGTGTTTTAAGCGATGACCGCTTTTTCTTCATTTCAAAAAGATTTACTAATTTTTGAAAATTCCAAGTTAATCAGATTTATGTAACGAAGTCATTAAAAAACTTACTGTTAATAATTTTTATCAAAACTCCAATTAAATTAAATTCCCCAAAATGTTTTTTTTTCTGTTACACAAAATTACACAGACATCTTTTTAGAGAAACTTCAAATATTTAATTTTAAAAAAAATTTAGATAATTCTAAACCGCTTACAAGGGTCTCATAAATTTCTTTTTCATATTTTTTTTTTATATTGAGCAAATTAAATTTACTTTTCATAGCAATTTTTTTTAACAAAAGTTTGATTTCATATTTTTTAAAATAGTTAAATACAGTTTTGTAAAATCTGCGTTCATTACAGTTTGCTTTTCACTAAAATCTTAACTATATTTTGATATAATTTCGTGACAATGAATAAATTAAGTTGATAGTTAAAATATTTTAAAAAAAAACAATTCTTATACGTTATGTGAGGTTAAAACAGAATTTTCGATTTGTGAATAAATTACTATTAATCATATCTCTACTATCTTTCATTCAGTTTTACCGTTCTTACTGTTATGTAAGTTTATTATTTTTTTATTATATATTGTAATTTCTAACTAAAGTAAAGTAAGTAGTAAGTTAAATTAAAAAATGCTAATAATTGGTATATTATATTAAAAGATGCTAAGAAGTTCAATTAGAAGAATAAGACAAGTACTTAAAAATAATCAGACCAAAATTATTCGAACACCCAGTGGTTCGGAATCAGAGAATCCTGAAGCATATATTAATCTGATGCTGGTACCTCCTTCTCATCGATGAAAGCCTGCACGCGTCTACCAGTTTTTGATAGGTGGTAATAGGAATCCTTTCAGGTGCACATAACAGCAGATGTGAGTCCTGGAAGAGAGAATGACAACCTAACCTGCGTTCTAATTCGTCTCGATGCTCTATGGTACTTTGATCGGCCTCTGGAAAGCCTACCCAGTTCTTGAACATCGTCAAACCATGGCTGCGCTAGTACCGTAATTTGGTAGTTTGCTTCTCCAATAAGTTCCAAATGGGTTTTTCCAAAATATTGCCACAGAGTTATGAAGCAAGAAATGAACAGGATGACAACATGCATCGCACAGTTCATTTTTACAACGACAGGAACTAAAAGACCTAGTCCAAACCATGAAAAACACCCCCCTTTAAAAAATTATGATTTAAAAGGATGTCTGTATATTTTTGACCAGATACTGAGAAAAAAATATAATTATTTTTTAAAAAGTTAGATAAAATACTGAAAGATAACTAAAAAGATACTAAAATATAATAAGATATGCATCTAACCTCGACCTATATGGCACCGAACATCTTTGGTAGTCGTGAAAGCACTCCGATTATTCTTTTCAGGACGAAAGAGCATTATATACAGCTTAGGAAAAAACAGCAACAGCAGAGCTACGATTGCACTAAAACTTATACATAAACACATTGTGATGACTTTGGAGCTGCTCCCAAAGTAAATAGGTACAAAAGCCACCCATATGACCAGAGTCGTGTACATAGTAAAACCTATGAACTTTGCCTCATTAAAATTCTCTGGGAGGTTTCTCGTTTTCACAGCGTATACAGTACACATAGCAATTAAAAAAAAGTCAAATCCTAAAGGTGCTATGATACCCAGAGGAGTGGTATTGCAAATGAGATTCACTTTGTCCAAAGCCGGGTATTCGAACATTGAGTCAGCAGGTTCCAGAACGAGCATGGCAACTATTATGGATGCTTCAATGGATATAAGTAGCCATGACATAACGACTTGAGCAGTGGCACTCATAAATCTTGGCTTTTTGGTAATGATTTTTTTCTTGCTACCAGCAAGAATCCTAGCTATGCGGTTAGTCTTGGTGACAAGTGATGCATACATCATGGCAAAACTCAGACCGGGAAGAATTCTGGTTATAAGACATGAAGTGTGTGTTGGCTTAGCCAGGAGTGGAAAAGTACAGCCGTGACAAAGATACATTCCCACAAGGATCACGTAAGAAAGTTCCCGGGTGGAAGATTTCACCACTGGAGTGTTGTTGTGGAGAATAAAAACGACCATAGTGAAGAATGTTGCTATAGTTCCCAAAACTGCAATCGTTACGGCAACAATTGCGGTGGTGTCACTCCATTGGATATAATCAACTGGTATTCTATTGCAATCTGAAAATAAATAAGATTATTCACAAACTGAATGCTCAAACATTAATGCATAGAGTGTATAAATATGAGGAAAAACCTTTTAAAGACATTAATATGCTTGAAATCTTGACATGTGCTTGAAATCTTGAAAAAGATATCAAAATATCAAGTCATTAATATGCTTGATATCCTGTAATCTATTGAAAGTAATGTAAAAAGCACAAATAAAAGCATGGGAATTTCACGGCGAGGCTTACCAATTTTTAAAATTCCAACCAAGTATATTCTACAATGCTGAAACAATGCAGAATAAACAAAGTAGTTCAAATGTGGCTTCTTTGTAACAACTAATACTGTAAAACTTTAACTGTAATAATTAGTTTTAATGTAAACAAAAACTGTACCATTACGTAAAAAGTCCTAATTATCTGCAGTGCCATAATTTATAATTATCTGCTAAAAGGGGACTTTAACGTGCTCCTGCTTTCCGTAATCCGTTATTCAATCCATTCTCCTAAAATTATAATTATCTGTTTGAGGATCAAAATCTGAATTCACCTTTGATAAGTATTTTTGCCATAGGTAATGAAATTGCGGAGCTTTAACCTTTTGGTTAACAAACTGAATGTTATGAAGGTGTATTATTTTAATATATATATTTGGAATGCGCTTCAACAATATTACCTAAATATATTTATTTTTTAACATAAGCTAATATTAGATAGGTTGAATGTGTATGGATTGCTCATAATAAAAAAAACTAATGATGTTCAGTTTCATTCGATAAGTAAGCCTGTATTTAATGTTTTTTTCATTATATTTTTCTCCATTTATCTACCCCTTTTTGTAAATTTTACTATAAAGACTTTATAATAAGGGTAGAAGCTACTGAATATATTTTATAACAACTGCGACTATTTTTTAAGTGCATGATATATTAATTGAAATAAAATTAAGGGAAGAACTCGAAAGTTTCGTTTCTTAAATGGTTTCAACAGATAAACAATTTATATCTTTTACTAAATTTCTGGCATATTAAAGTTGGAACCAAAATTGCAAGTCAAAAATTTAAAAAAAAAACATTTTTTTTAATTTATTTTTATTTAATTTATTTTTGTTTATTTTATTTTTATTCATTTTATTTTTATTCATTTATTTTACATGAACTATTTATTTATATTTTTTAAAAAAAATTTATTCAAAAGCAGTAAGTGATAAATAAAAAATTAACAGAAGAACAAAGCATTGGAATTTTTAAAAAAAGATTCGAAAAGCATATTGGCACTTGATCAAATAACAGATAGTACTCTTGCTAACAGTAAGCCTCATAGTTTCCATAAACTTCGATTGGAAAGATGGAATTAGCAAGTTACGAAACTTTTTCTGCGTACGCAATCAGAGTATACAAGAAACATCAAAAAATAACCTTCGCTATGGAAACGATATTTATTATGATTTCATAAAGACATTTTTTAAATAATTATCATGTTTAACAGCGTAATTATGAGTATATATCCTTACCAGTCAAGTTATCATTCGGCCACCATCCCAATCCGCAGTCTTTGCAAGTGAATTCATCTAATAGGAACTGATTTTCCTTGCAAGCTACGCAGACCCAACAGCATTTCACACTCTCAGATTGAATACTCTAAACATAATAATAAAACATTTTCATTATTTCTTTTACAAACGAAATTTAATTTAGCAAAAATTATTCAGATGCACTGTGAAAGACAGCTAGAAATAGTACAAGTCTATGTAGTAGTTCAGTATCAAAATTGCTGTTAGCAAGATCGGAGCTATAGAGTAGATGTTTAAGTACCCCCGGAAACTTTCGAAGCAGATTTTTTGCAGAATTTGAAGTATTTCTTAGAAGTTAAGTGTCAAAGAAGTCTATTGCCTGAGAATAAAAGCAACCTGTCATATTGTCTTTGTTTATGGAAATTAAATGACACAGAGTGTTTCTTGGTGTCAGAAAAGAAAGATACTGAGAGCAAGATCGGAATTATAGATTATATTTTCTAGCAACTCCTAGAAACTTTTGAAGTAGATATTTAGTCGAATTTGCTGTCAGCTGACGAACGGATTAAAGCTGTTATCACGGACTAAAACAATACCATACTTATTGTAGTATGGATTCGAAAATTAGAATTTTTTTTGCCGTCAGCCTGACCATGGGAGGTTTCCATTGCTTTCCTTTCCAATTAATACAAATACGGGTTATTTCCATCAAAAATTATTCCATAAAGGCTAATTGTACCAATACTTGATCCAGGAAATCCCATGTTTTTTAGGTTAGATTCAAAACTGCAATGCTAACATTTAAAGTAATGATGTTCAAGTGAGCTTATAAAATAAAACTAATGTTCTTATTGTAGTATGGATTCGAAGATTAGATTTTTTTGCTGCGAGGCTGACAATGGGAGGTTTCCATTGTTTCCCTTTCCAATTAATACAAATACGGGTCATTTCCATCAAAAATAATTCCATAAAGGCTAATCCCAATTCTTGATCCAGGAAATCCCATGTTTTTTAGGTTAGATTCAAAATTGCAATGCTAACATTTAAAGTAATATTGTTCAAGTCTCCTTATAAAATAAAACTAATGTACTTAGTTGATAACGCAACTTCAAAACACCATGAAAATAAACTTATTGAAATTTTTTTTAAAAAAATCTGCCCTACGAATTTATTTTAACACAAAATTAAGTACGAAAGAAATTTTTAAGAAAAATTAATTCAATAGAAAACTTTGTTTACTCTAAATTTCTGACCAATCATTTTTCAAAAGTTTTTCCTTTTCTTCTCGAGAGAATTGAGAGCTCTTAGTTGAAGAAAAGACTGGATAAGATGAGCCTTATAAATTTTCAATGATGTTATGGCTGTGAATCTAACAGAAATATCCAATTGGGATTCCAAAAAAAGCTTGTTTGGCACCGCTAAGTGCACTTCACACACGTTTCTTCAAATCTCAATAGATTTATATCCAGTTATTGGACTTGTTTTAAGAATATATTAAAGATATAAAGGAAGAAAAAGTTTTAGAGAAAGCAAAAGCTAAGAAGAAAGAACATAAAAATTTATTTCATTCTCCAAAAGTTATCTTTTCTTCGAATACGGCAAGAATTATTTTTCTTTCTTTTACGTTTTAATGCTAAAAAATATTTTAGTTCAGCTTTTATCGAAAAAAGTTGAGGATACGCTGCTTGTTTATATATTTATTTATATTTATAACCAGCGTTGAACAGTCAACCCAATTCTGAGTGTAGAACAATCAATTTTTAAATCCATAACTTTGTAATTTTGAACTTAATGGTTAGACAGTGGAACTCCTGGAACAAGCTTTGGGACAAACTAGCCATCACGTAGGCCAATGAAGCTATATTTGCGTTACATGGAGAGGAATAAAACGGAAACTTCCCACAGTTATCTTTGCGGCAAGAGGATTCTAAACCCATGATTCGACTACCACTGAGGATATTTTAGGCATACGTCGGTGCAAGCCAGGAGCAGAATTCGTATCAACCAGCCGCAGCTGGGATTCGAACCTCGGCCATCTCACTGGGAGACGAACGTTCTATCTTTAGAGCCACCACGGCTCTGCTTGTTTTGTTGAGAAAAAAGTACAAGCTTAAAATTTAAAGTATTATATTAAAAAGTTATTCAAAAACATCAAAAATCCTAATTTCTAATATCCTCCACTGGGCACAAGAGGGTTTAATTTCATAGTATGATCATAATACTTAAAAAAATTCATAAATGTTCTTAATCTCCCTATCTAATCACGAAAAATCCGACAAATACTCAAAATTTTAAGTTCACATAGTATACTTAAACTAAAAAATATTCTAAAAAAATCCTAAAAAATATACTCGGAATAATTATAATGAGAAAGCTATGTGGGTATAAAAATTTTACTCTTTTATCTATACCTTTATTTTTTTAGTTTTCTTTTTCAGCTTCTTTTCATAACAAAAACAGATCCAGAGATATGGCGAAACACACAAAAAGGGAAATAAACATTAATTTGTCCAAACTTTAGGTCACTCTCCTGACTAAATTATTAGGATTATATATTTTCCAAATTACGACATATCCCTTATTTTGAGAGTCATAAAATCAAATCTGACGAAAGATGATGTGTTTATTCAGAAAAAATGCGTTTCAATCTCCGCACTTGTGACTTAAAATAAATTTTGCATAATTTAAATAGCATGTATAATTTACTCCAACCATCAAAGTTTAAATTGCGTACGAGAATATCAGGTCATTAGATTATAATTTCTTAAACTTTTCACGTAGAATTCTTATGAAACACATTTTTCAAACTCTTTTCATTATTTTGTATTAATTTAGATCAAAACAAAACAAAATATCATATTTAGCATTTCAAAAAAATTTTGTTATGAAATGAAACACAGATGTTTCTTTCTACGTTAAAGGTAAAATCTTCCAAACATGTCTCAGTTCCAAACAATAATTTTTCAACTTCGCACTTATTTACAGTTATTTAGATCTAGGAAAGAAAGTTATTCATCATTAAAGCACCTTTAATTTACAAAATCAATTATTGATAAATTTTTGAATATGGAGGGGGAAAAAATTCCAAATTTATTTTTTGGATCTTATATTTTATAATTTAGATATTCTAGCAGATTTACTTTACTAACTATTAGACTTTTTATTTATAAAAAAATAACAAAATAGAATTTTGCTTGTATTTAGAGCGTCAGTAAAAAATACATAAAAAGGACACCGGTGTCCCTTCAGCGTCAAAGGTATAAAGTGTTCTATTTGCGACATTTCAATGAAATTGAGATGGCCAAATCTGGTATAAAAATATTTAATCTCGTATAAAAATATTTTACATTGAAATGTTTATAACAAAATAACTTTCTGTATATTAAAAGTATTATTTTGTCGAATTTCAAGGAAAGTGCTGTAATATTTTTGTATAAGGTTAGAATAACGTTAAGGTAACGTTGCAGAAACTGTAACGTTAAATAATGAGGTTTACTTGCCTTAACTTTTCCCCTTTCACAAGGTTTACTACAAACAGACTCTGGCAAACCATTGGTTATAGTTGTGTGTTTAGGATTCCAACGAAAAGGCTTGAAGATATCCAGTTTACCACTATCCCAAGATCCAACGTGTCTATAGTCGTAAGAATTGTTTTCTGGTATGAATTGGAAGTTCATAATATCATACCTAAAAAAATATAATGTGTTATTTAACACTTTTTAAAAACATATGCCATTTAAAAAAAGTCAATTCTTCTAGTATATAGTATATTTATTGAAGTACCTTACTTTATAACCGTCGTTGATCCTGTAGCCTTTTAATTTTGAACTCAATCTAGAAGACAAGTGAACTCCTGAATCAAATAATGGGAGAAATTTGCTTTCGTGGAACATTTTTTGATGGAACTAACCCGCATTTGAGTTACATGGAAACTAAAACCCATGAAACCTCCCACGGTTAGTCTGACGGCAGGGGACTCTAACCCAAGATCCGTCTATCACTGAGGATATTTTAAGTCAGCACCGTGGTCGGTAAAAGCCGGATGCGGAATTCGTATCGGCCAGCCATCGCTGGGATTCGAACCCGGTTTACCTCATTGGAAGGTGGAACGTTTTACCCTCTGAACCATCACGGCTCATTATTGAATTATTGTTCTATGATGTGGACATGTCCAACATATAAATATATTATGCATTTCCTTTTTTTAGCAATTGTATTAATTGTTGAGAGCCAGTCATAGCAAACTAAACTCTTCCTTATAACTAATATAAAACTAATACGAACGCTACTTTATCAACTATTAATTTCATCTAATCGCACACTTGTCATAAAATTATTGCGTCTATCTATGAACACTCATACCAGTTACTTTTCAAGAACGAAAAAGATGGTTTCAAAATTGTTCTGAAGTGAATGAAATAGTCATATAAATGCATGATAGTATGTTTCTTTTGCAGAAAATTAAATTACATACAGTTATTACGCCATGAAAGAATTAATTATTTATGTGATAGTTCGATTCATTCAAAGAACACACGGAAGTTTAAATGCCTCCATATGTGTATGCTTATAATGCCACCAAATAATCTCAAAACTTACAAGCAAAAAAACAAACGGAAAACTCTTAGCAATTTTTTTTTGCTACAGATTGATTTTTTTTAAGTCTAAGATATAGTGTTTTTAAAAATAAATAGTTTTTAAGCGCAGTGTCCAGTCTGGTAGAACTTATTATAAGAACTTATAATATCTAGTAGAACTGATTCTATTGCAATCCACTAAAAATGTACCACTATTTGCTAAGAAACCTTCGCCGTTTTTTAACAATCACTATTTAGTAAACAACATGGAATTCCAATATATATCTTTTTTTCGAATTCACGAACTGTGGTATAAGTTGCTAGCATGCAGCCTGTACATAATTTCCAATCAAAATTTGCTTAGCAGAAAAGTATCTGTAAAAGTGTTTTTGTACGTTCAAATTTTTAAAAAAAATAATTTTGAATCTTAAAAAAACCGCAATTAAAGCTGTAGGAGGTTTTCTAAATATACTTCTGATTCTATAACAGTGAATTTTCATTTTACAACGCAAAATATTCCTTCTTTCTTTTATCGAATCAGAATACAAGAATTAAACATGATTACAAAACCTAACACTTCAGATAAGTATACGTGTTAGCTTTAAACCACAATATTTCAGTTTACGTATTTTAGATCTATTAATTCCTTTTTTAATAATTTATAACTTTATTTTTTATCAAAAAAAAAAGATAAACTGGGAAGGACGAAGGAAAATAAAACGAATCTGTGTCTTCCTTGAATTAGGCCACAATTCATTTATATCATTTGTTTCATTAATTATCTGTAAATAAATCAAAATGATATCAGCTAACTTCCATTCTATCAATATAAATGAACCAATTACTACTCATTCATGTTTTAAATTAAATTTCCTAGTTAACATAAGATAGAACTATTTAGATATCATTATCAGATTAAGAGTGTTCGTGACTTCTGCAACCTAGGGAGTTCATTTTCTTTTCTAATTTGATTTCTCAAACAACGGACTGAAATTGTCGAGACTAATTTACAGCAGTGTTATTCCCAAGGTGGAAGGATTGCAGGCAATTTCCGTAAATGTTATACTCAAACTCTAATGACTTCATTTGATTTCCAATGCATTTCTTTAAGTAATAGTCTCAAACAGACAATATATAATTTTGTAAATCACCGAACAATAAAACACATTCCAAATTATGAGTGAATTTAAAGATAAATAATTTAAAGAATTTCATTGCACTAATCAAGTTTTAGTTTGAGATTTAGAATACTCAAACATGATTTTCTAGAAATTTCCTGAAGGCCTTTGGGTACCTTAATTTATCTTTTTTGAATAGATGCACTTCATGCATAAAACGCAACCTCAAATCCTCATTCATCCACATATTAAATATACGATTAACTGAAATGGATAAAGGATATTGAATGAAGGTTCTAAGAAAACAAGCCACATACACTTTTCATTCATTTACATGTAAAAAAGAGAATAAATTGAGACGGATAAAACAAATTGGGTGAAGAGTCTCAAAAAAATACATCACTTACACTGCTTATTTATTCGCATATAAATATGAGAATAAATTGAGACGGATAAAACAAAGTGGGTGAAGAATCTTAAGAAAATACCCCACATACACTCCTTATTCATTTACATATAAATAATAGAATAAATTGAGACGGATGAAGAATCTTAAAAAAATACGTCACATACACTTCATTCACATATAAATAGGAGAATATATTGAGACGGATGAAGAATCTTAAAAAAATACGTCACATACACTCTTTATTCATTCACATATAAATAGGAGAATAAATTGAGACGGATGAAGAATCTTAAAAAAACTAGCCACATGCACTCTTTATTCATTCATATATAAATAGGAGAATAAATTGAGACGGATGAAGAATCTTAAAAACACTAGTCCCATACACTCTTTATTCATTCATATATAAATAAGAGAATAAATTGAGACGGATGAAGAATCTTAAAAAAATACGTCACATACACTCTTTATTCATTCACATATAAATAGGAGAAAAAATTAAGACAGATGAAGAATCTTAGAAAAACTAGTCACATACACTCGTTATTCATTCACATATAAATAAGAGAATAAATTGAGACGGATGAAGAATCTTAAAAAAACTAGCCACGTACACTCTTTATTCATTCATATATAAATAAGAGAATAAATTGAGACGGATAAAAGAAATTAGAAGAAGAATCTTAAGAAAATACGTCACTTACACTCCTTATTCACTAACATATAAATTAGAGAATTGATTAAAATGGATTTTAAAAAAATGGATGAAAGATCTTAAAATAGATGACGAATCTTAATTTAAAAAAGAATTTTTAGAATATATTGGTATTAAGGATTTCTTATCATTAAAAAGAGATGAGTTTAAAACGTCACCAAGCGTAAAACGTCAACAATAGAAAATATAACAAGATTAAATTGACAGCATTTATTATTAGTCAAAAAAAAAAACAGTTTCTTTTCCAAGTTTCTCTTTTTTCACATTTTTTCGAAGCGAATTAATATTTTCTTGAGATCGAAAAAAATATGACACAATATTTACAAAAGTACTTTTAACTAGCACTATAGTGTGCTTGAAAATATGAAAAATAAAAACTTATTTTCTTAGCTGAAGTGGAAGAACGGTTCGACGTATTTCGAACGACCTAAAGTGGTCACTATCTGTTAGGAATACAACACGTGAATGAAGAAAAAACAAGTTAGGAACGAGAAAAGGCACAGTTGCTGATATAAAAATAGAACGAAAAATTCATGGAGAAAAATATAAGAGAAACCATGGCAGGCGAGAGGACGATGGTTCCTACAGTGTTTATTTTAGGGGGGAAACTATCTAAAATTGTTTTGCTATCAATTGAATCTTTTTACAGAAGTTTATTTGTATTAAAAAAATATAGAAAAGTTTATTTTTAGCAGGAAAGAGTAACTATTATGCTATTTATGACTATTGACACTGAGAAATCCTTTTTTTTTCATGAAAAAATAAAAAAGAATATCTTAAATGGTAAGTTTTTTGGGGCGAATAGGCTAGAACAAATTTTTTAAAAAAAATCGTAAATGGATAAATATAACTCACATGAAACAGTTCTTGTTTTAGTTATCATACCATGCACGTCATTATAGATTATATTTATTAAAAGTTAGCTAAACTATCTTTTTACACATTTTATCATTGCGATAACTCATCCCCTTTAACTTTTCTAAGACGTAATTTTTCTAAACCAGGTTTGTATAGGTCAAAACAAGTGACCTCAAAATCCAGACCTTCTAGAACTTTCCTGAATCCAGATACCACACTTGCATGAACTTAAAGATAATTTTCCATTCTTTGGAAGAAAAAAGGGTGCTGGAATAAGCTTCTCTACCAGAAAAAAAGTTAAGACAAAAATTCCTTAAGGGGTTAGTTTAATCTTGTAAAAATGTAAACAAAAATTTAACGGGAATATAAACTCATTAAACTGAAAATTTCTTTAAAGGCTAACTTTTTAAACGAGTTTCCCCGCATCTGTCATCATTTTCTGCGAACGTCTTAGAAATACGAATTTGTGCATTTTGAGACATTAAAATGATGTCCTTACCTTCCAGGCGGATCTCCATTTTCATCAAATTTAACTGTTTCATTTCCCCATACAAAGCTTACGTTCATCAAGTACTGAAGATAAAGAGATCCATTCAATGGAAGCATGCTAGCACACAGTCCTGAAGTATTGCATTTTGCTTTTTGCATATCGTGCAGTCCATAAGCCATTGTGTAGATAGCTTTTTTAACAAAGGACATCTTAGTATCTTGCTTGTAGCGTTCCGAAAGATTTTCATTTCCTATTATAAATGCATAAAAAACAAACAAAATAAGTTAAATAAATAACCATAGAATCTGTAACGGATTAAGATATTACTTGATCAAAAACTTTATTCTCTTCAAAAGTATGCAAATTGGAAATAACAATCGACATGTTTCAAGTGCTCAAAAATAGGCGTCCATGAAAAAAAAAAGACTTGTGACATGAAAGCACGAAAGAGCAGATGCAAATTGATTTAAAATATAAAGCGCTAAGTTGCCAACGAAAAATGAAAGCGAGAAACAAAACTTGAAAAAAATTTTAAATTGAATTTTGACAAGGACAAATTTATTTCATCCCCAGTCACACCAGCTCATCTTGATGCCCTGGAATCTTGTTTTATTCAAATGAATGCTGAGGCCCTTGTTAATGACATTACTTCCTCATCATCTCTCCATAGCGCGTGGCAATGCATGTTACTCCAATTTGTAGCTCTTCATTGTGGTTTCCTTGTTCTGTTTTTCATCTTTTTTCTCTCTCGGCAGCTGTGGTTTTCTACTTTTCTTTCTCACCTTTATTTTTCCAGTTTTCATTGGCAACTTTATTTTGTGTGGTTCTAAACATTTTCGTTTCTTCTCATTCACGTCTGGCAAGTCTTAAACGAAGCGCTTATTTTTGAAAGCTTGAAACATGTCGACTCTTATTTCCAATTTATGTACATTTGAACGAAGTTTTTAATCAAATAAACAAAAGTTTTAAGTATTTTAGTAGTTGATTTTTCAGATAGAAAGAGAAATTTCACTGTATATAGTTTATGCGCAAAAAAATAATATACACATTTTTACTCAGTAGAATTTGTTTTTCAATAAAGACTGTAAAGTTCTAAATAATAACAAATAAAAGAAAAACAAAAGCATTCAGCAAATTGTTATAACATTTTAATTTTATTTCCCTTAGTTTCAAATTTCCTAACATATTTTCCGAAGAATAAAGCTTCGAGAAGGAAATTACTATTTTTAGAGAATTTAAGCATACATGCTAAGAGAATTTCTGTAATTTTATAACACATGAATTTTTTTGTGAAAGAGAAGACACACGAATGCTGATAATTGCGATAATTAAAAAAAATTGTTAAGCATAGTTTTGCGTCAGGGAAAAAGGTAATTAATGATAGGGGGTTTTTCCTTTTCATCGATTTCCTGTATATACAGTCGGACCTCTATTTAACGAAGTCGCTAAATCCCGGTAATAAGTTCGCTATATGGAAAATTCGTTAAATAGAAAATGACCTTTTAAAATACTTAAGCAACACAAAACAGGTTTTAAATTCATAAACTCTGAACACAATTAAAATAGCAATTGATACACCTTTAGCTTATAAACTAGTATATCTACTATTTATTTTATGAATCTTAACCTTAAAAGAAATCTGCATGGAAAGCAAGAATAGAGCAAAACATTATTCAGTGTTACACTATCATGCTGCATACATTTTAAACTGAAAAAAGGCTAAATTTATGCATAAAATTATAGCTGCATTTATTAAAAAAGACATTTTAAACATACATTATCACATGCGTTCTTAAGTTAAATTGCTACAGATGAAATCCGTTAATTTGAACTGAGTTTTTCGTTTGAAATGCAAGCGAAAGGGGAAAGGGATTGTACTCCTTTCTCTAAGATAAATTTTAGAGAAAACAATAATACATTTCATAAAGCAGTGGCTTCGAAAATAAATTCAAGGCCATTTCCCCCATAAAATGCGTTAACAAGTTTGAAATATTAAGAGATATTTTGGAAAATAGAAAAAGTGAATCTCAATGAAAAGTTCGTTAAATAGAAAATTCACTTCTCTATTTAGAAGTTATTTTACAATGAAATTTCCAAAATGTTCTTGGTTCCTCGAAAAAATTCGTAAAATAGAGAAATTCGTAAAATGAAAGTTCGTTAAATAGAAGTCCGACTGTATTTAAAATAATAACTGTCTAAATAGACCTATATTGTACCAATGCCAGTTCAAATCAAAGCCTTTATAAAGTTCATCAGATGGTNTTTTAAGTATTTTATAAGTTGATTTTTCAGATAGAAAGAGAAATCTCACTGAATATAGTTTATACGCAAAAAAATAATATACACATTTTTACTCAGTAGAATTTGTTTTTCAATAAAGACTGTAAAGCTCTAAATAATAACACATAAAAGAAAAACTAAAGCATTCAGCAAATTGTTATAATTTTATTTGTTTCAATTTTATTTCCCTTAATTTCAAGTTTCCTGACATATTTTCCGAAGATTAAAGCTTCGAGAAGGAAATTACTATTTTTAGAGAATTGAAGTATACATGATAAGAGAATTTCTGTAATTTTATAACACATGAATTTTTTTGTGAAAGAGAAAACACACGAATGTTGATAATTGCGATAATTAAAAAAAAGTGTTAAGCATAGTTCTGCGACAGGGAAAAAGGTAAATAATGATAGAGGGTTTTTCCTTTTCATCGATTTCCTGAATATATTTAAAATAATAACTGTCTAAATAGACCTATATTGTACAAATGCCAGTTCAAATCAAAGCCTTTATAAAGTTCATCAGGTGGTAAGTAAAATGAGAAATTTTAACCAAAACACATTTAAATAATAAGGAATTATTACGACAACGTTCAATTTTTAGAAAATATATCATATTTATCATAATTTTGTCAGTAGTGTATAATGTTTATATTCTCTTACAAGTTAAGACGAAACCTCGTAAAAATAGGCTCAAGTAATCATTTGCTAATAAACAAGCCTGGAGTTTTGTTAATTGAGTGGTAAAAATAAACGATTAACTACTGGCACTATGCAGTGCAATGCCCACCTCATCCTGCCACTTTAAAGTTCAAATCAAGAATTCCACATAGCCTTTTAGAAATCTATTTACCAGAATTACAAATAAAAACAAAAGGCTGCCGACCTATTCTGTCATGGCGAAAGTCATTTTTTACTAGATTACGAGGAAGTCCTGAAGTAATTATATTTTATTTTAAAACCGTCGTTGAACAGCCGACACAATTTTCCAAATAATAATAATGTTCAACTAATTATAATTCCGAACCCAATTCAGAAGACAAGGGAACTCCTGGATCAGGCATTGTCAGAAGTTTATCTTCATGGAAGACATTATGATGGAACTAACCAGCAATTGCATTACATGGAGAGGAACGCCACGAGTACCTACCACGGTTAGCCTGACGGCAAGGGGACTCTAACCCAAGATCAGTCTATCACTGAGGATATTTCACGTCAGCACTGTGGTCGGTGCAAGCCGGATGCGGAATTCGTATCGACCAGCCACCACTGGGATTCAAACCCGGTTCACCTCAGTGGAAGGCGAACACTCTGTCCCCTGAACCATCGCGGGTTTGAAGTAATTGTAATAAAAAAAGAATTAAAAAAAAGAATATATGCAGTGGTGTGCCACGACAGCTACTAAAATTGGTAAATTCGCCCTGAAAAATTCTAATAATAATGCCCTAACTAATGAAATCGATATGTTTTTTTTAATTAAACCTTGTCTGTAAAGTTTAACCATTAACTGGTAAATGCTCCCTTAGGGACGCAGGAGCGAGGTTAAGTGTTAGCGTGTGTGCTAATCTCAGATCCTCTCGAAGACATCGACGGCGAGAATTTAGTACTACTTTCCAACACTTAAAGATTTTTATAGTCAGTAACAATAAATTTGGGTCAATATTGATGAATTTCAGTATCAAGCAAACAAAAAAATTCAAAAATAGAAAGAGATTTTTCCAAATCGTACATTTATGCTGAACGCAACCCATCAAAAACAATTTTTACCTTCTGGCTTTCATTTGTATAACATTTTCTCTCTCACAAAAGTTATTTTCAAAACATGTGACATAAAACATCAGCAAAAAAGAACACATTTTGAGCTTACCAGTATTGCAAGTTTTATTGTATTTTCCAGATCCTTTTTCCAAAGAGCAGTTGAATCTGTATTCCCAAAACTCCCGAAACCAGGGATTCCTCTGATTGTTGTGAGGTTTGAGGGAAAAATAGTAGGGATCAAAGCTGTGATCGTACGTGGAATGAATACGGATGGATATTCCGCCCGCAGCCTCTTGTTCATATTGTTCCGTAACATCGTTCCGGTCGGACCAACCATCACTGTTGGAGAATGCAGAGCACAAACAAAAAAATAAATTTTATTTAAATAGTGGATAGTGGATATATTTTAACATGCATGGGGTATAATTTGAGGTAAATTCAAAACCATTCGCTTTGTATTGTGGAAAAGAAATATATACTTTCTAGAATAGTTCGTTTTTGATATAAATAATTAGGTAAAAATGCAGAATGTTTCTTAAATTGAGGATTTAGTTATTTAAGAGCCCTGCAATTAAATAATATCAAATGGATTTAGAAATAAAAGTTTAATTTGTTTTTCTTTAAATTGCTCAAGGTTTTATCATTATTTGTAAAGCACAAAAGCGAAATATAATGTATTTTATAAATATAATAATATAAAACTAAATATAAAACCAAAACATGTATGAAATAAAATACTTTTCCCTTTTGCTCGTAACAAAACAGGCTTCTCACTTGTGTTCAACAAATGTCATGAAATCATGTATATAATTCAAGTAATCTTTAAAATTAATAATCAAGTATCTGATCTATATAGTAAATCTAAAGTTAATTTTTAACGTATAAAATTGGATGGTTATAGTTATATTAAATTCTTATTGTGATATTTGACACAGATCAAATTTTCTTGTTCCTTTTTTTCCATCTTTCTGTAGAGCAAGTCAAGTCTTTAACCTTCTTGGCTAGGGCCGAAGTTCGGTATTTTATCAGATTGTACTTTCTCAGATCATAGATATTCTTTTATTGGTGATTGCAGTTCCTTTTTAATGTCATGTCGCCAGATATTTGAGACCCAGGTAAAGCTCACTGACTGTATAGTCCACCCAATGGGCATAAAAACCATGTTTTTATTTTTTTTAAACAGATTACTCAAATAACTAATGCAAGACATTGTTTATCCCTAGTTCGCGTCTATGTGTAAAACCCAACAAATATTAGAAACATAAATATTATCGCTATTATTTCTTTTGGATGATTTTACAATTTTAATAATATTATTTTATAAATTTCTGTTCCTATGATGAGTTTTATGTCTCAAATTTTCCAATTATTATTATTTTTAAGTGTTTTTTTTTTGATAGATTGCACTGAAGTTTAACTTACTATTTTTACCATTCATTCCATACAATAAAGCTAAAAGCACATTTTTTCCTTCATAGTAATTTTTGTTAGCAGTTAAATCAGTCAATCTAATTTTAACGCATTTTTCACTTTATTTTACTTCTTTCATTTTACATTCGTTCCCAATTGCATTATTTTCTTTGTTTCCTCATAGATACGCCTCTCACAGATATAGACTCATTATAATGAGTAATCTTAATCAATCTTAGGATAATTATTCTTGATTTCGAAATGTCTCTCCNCTAAAGCAGAAGCATTTTTGATCATTTTTAAAGAAGTTATGACACTTTGAATTTTGCCATTTTTTTGTAAGTTTCTAGGTGTACTGATACTTTTGAGCGGTACATATATATATATATACATATATATATATATTCATTCGTAAGCTACGTGATTGAATTGTTGTACCTCCTTAAAAATATCTCAGAACGTTGTGAACAGGAAGGAGGTGCCCATGCAATTGTTTCAAATTTATTTTGAAATTAAATATTAGTATTGAAATTCCACTACTGTAATTAAAATTTTAAGTTTTATTTAGTATTTTTGCATGAATACAGTGAAGGAAAATAACTCGTCTCCAAGGATAAAATCACACCAGATAATAGAGGAGAATTCAGAACTTAATAAAAAGGTATCACGTGCTTTACAGACAATAAAGAGAAACTTTATTAAAATGTAATATATTTTATTTCGTTTTCTCTTTTTTGATAATTTTGTGACAAATATAAAATTTTAGTTACTGTGAATATTAAGCTAAACCAATCTGAAAAGATATCTGAAATCTGTTTGATTAAAGAAAAATGATTATAGTAAACAAAGTACAAGTATCAGCAAGTTATAAACAAGTCAAATAAAACGAATATCAGTGGTAATGTAAAGAAAAAAATTTCAGAGTTCGAACGACGACCAGTTAAATCTGAAACCTGACGAGACATTAATAAAAATATATCATAAGACAATATATATATACTAAGCATAAAATATCATATTCTGCTGAGTTCAAGAAAAAATGACATGACATAATAACTCTTATTTCTGTTGTTCGACATTATATGTTCGTCAACCTGATTCTCAGTATTTTCTTTTCCTGATAACAAAAGAAAAACCGATTTTATCGGACAATCTTTATCCGGTAAGGATTTATTTGACGTCAAGATTTGCTTTGATATGCCAATTATCGATACACCACTAATCCCTTAAGTTCTTTTTGGGATTGCCTTTTTTCTTTTTTGGCAAATCAAAGACACCTCACTTGTCTAAATGTCTTATTGTGTTGAAAAGAAAATTACACTAACCTAAATACAGATTGTTGTTGATATTGAATATAAACGACAGCTGATGCATTTCCCTGGGGTAAGACTTTTTTAGCATGATTTGTTCTTTACTATAATCAACTAGAATTTATCTATTATTAAATATAATAATTAATTCCTTAACTGAATTGTATTAAAAATAAGACTTTTTCGGGTAATTTAAAACAGTGGAAATGACTCTCGTATAAAATTTAGGTAGTTTGCATTGACGAGCATTACATTTTTAATTTGAACTCTTTGAAATTAATGAAGCGAAGACTGAAAAACAGATTTTAATATTATTGGCGAAGACCTAAGAAGGTATAAATTACGGGAGATATTTAATTTTTTATATATTTTAACAAAAAAATCTCATAATTCTTTCCTCTAAAAATTGCCTACAGTTATAATTCAAAACGAGCATAATGGAATGAATATATTTCACTCAACACATTTAAATCATATTTGAAACTGCTAACAAACTAGTGAAATATCTGATAAAGCAATAGAAAATTATTGATTATTGCGTTTTGTAAATTTAAGCAATAGTCTATTCATAAAAATATTTGCATTGGGCTGAAACAAAGCGCTTCAAAGAGAATTTATGAAAAAAAGGCATTTTTAATATTCATATTTTATTTTAAAACCGTCACTGAACAGCCGACCAAGTTTTTGAGTTTGCAACTACTACTATTCAACTCCATAGCCTTGTAAATTTTAACTCAATCCAGAAGACATGGGAACTCTTGGATCAAGTATTGGAAACAATTCGTCTTCGTGGAGGACATTTTGATAGAACTAACCCGCACTTGCTTTAGATGGAGAGAAAAACCACGAAAACATCTCACGGTTAGCCTCACGGAATCACACCATCTCACGGAATTCATATCGAACAGCTATGGATGAGATTCAAACCCTGAACCTCATGGGAGTCGAACGTTCTATCCCCTGAACCACTACCATAGCTCTAAGATCCTTAATTGTAATCTAATTTTAATTAAAATATTTGATTAAGTGTTCTATTTGATTAATTTAATGTATTTGATATTGTACTATATAAGTATAAATATTTGATTGAACAACTCTCTTTCCTTCTGATTAAATTTTATTGGATCAGATAATAATGCAAAGGCACTGTATAGGACAGGAAGAAGGAAGAAAATTTATTTATTGATAAGTCGTACTGTGAAAAGAAGTATGTTTGAACATACCAAAATATGTAAAATTTACTGTATTTCTGGCTCTATGAAAACACCAAAAATCACGGCAATCTTTACAGAAGTGCTTTGATAAGAATTCGGGAAAAATTAACATTGAAATATGGTTTTATGATGCGCGACAAAACTTTGGTAAATGTGGTGAAATTCGGTATTCTTATAAGGATACCGTAGAGCATGGCATAAAAACCATTTATTTGGGTAAACTTACTTTCCAGCTTTGCAATATTTTACTAAATGCGTGGTAATAAGAACTATAACTTCGAAAACCAGAATTTCCGGTAAATCGTTACCATATAAACGGCAAACACAGTACGATAATTATGACAGAACTTCTTTCTCCGTGTGTAAAACATTTAATGCAAATGAAAACACACAAGGCAAATAAATTCCTACAGAATGGGTACACAAAACGTTTTTGACTAACAAAATCGTAGAAATTTGCTGCAGTTTCAATTAAATACTGAGTTAAAATGTGATTCTGTACAATATCAGTCATAATATCGCGTGATTACGTTAAAAATGGTTAGTTGACTCGACATTACGTTTCCAATTAACCCCTTATAGCACCATAATTGCACGTCATTCCAGTTCGACATTCTTCCGCATTTTTTGATAAAAAAAACACCTTTTAGAGATCTTTATTCGATGGGAGAAGAATAATCAGAGTTTTTCTTAACACCTTACCTTCCAATCAACAGAAACTCTCCTGTTGCATTGAGCCTTCTGGTAGCTTTGAGGATTCCTCGAACGGTCATACCCTCGCAGAAACAGACAACCACCTTTGCACCCGGATACTTCTGGAGGTTACGGATGATCTGGTCGTAGATAAAGTCTTCGGCATGGCTTAAGACTGAATCACTGGCGGCAATGCAGATGCCTGCCTCGTGAGCTAGCTTCACGAATGCATCCATCCCACTGTTCCCATAATTCCCTGCAACAAACATGCATACACAATTAATCCTAATAAGATTCCCTACGAAAAATATGGTGTTCTTGATGTTGACAGGAGTAGAAAAACATACGCTGAGGTGGAAAATGACGTTATATTTGAACCAAAATTAACCTTATCAATAAACCTAAATTTCAACCTCATTAAAAAGTCATACAAAATCCTCCTCATGTATAGCTCAGCAATACTTTTAGTTGAAATCTGGTGAATTTTTCACACCTGGAAAATTCAGGTGAAGAATTTTTCACACCTCAATATACTTATTTACTTAAAGTGAAGAAAAAATATTCTGAACACCTCAAGGTATGTAGATACTTTATTTACGTCACATTAGAGCTTCACAATGGGGTATTGGCGACGGTCAGGGAAACAACCCTGAGGATGATCCGGAGACTTGTTATCGCAGTTGGGATCCTAAGCGGAAGGGGTGCTTAGAATCGAAACGGCAATTTGATACTCCCCAGCTTTTTTAGTCCAACGACCTTCTCGCGAATTGGAGCACTTTACGGTAGAACAGTTTAACGAGGACCGATACCGTGCACTCTCGGTCTCTACCACAGGCTGATCAAAGTTGTCCCCCACCCACTTACTGACCACAGCCAGTGACGCTTTACTTCGATGTTCCATTGGGAACCGTGTCTTTATTTTCAGTCCACTGCGGGACCTGTACACCTCAAAAACAACCTCTCCAAGCAGGTTGCTTTAAGGTAGGCTATTAACCTCAAAACAACTTCAAGTGTGAATAAAATTCCTTTTACACCATGGGAGGTTGAACTTTTAAGGTTGTTTTTAAAGTCAACTTCAAGTAAACCTCAAATTACTTCTAACATCTCACAAACACCTTTAATCTCACAAACACCTTTAATAAATAAATTGTTTATTTTGTATAAATTAATAATGAACAAGCAATATATAAAAGGCAAAAATAATAAAGCAATTAATTATAGGAGATAGTTTTGATTTTAAAACAAACACAATCATCGATATAGAGGTGGATACTGAAGGAAGAGAAAATTACAAAAATGCAACATTACCAATGGTATTAAAACAAAATATTTTATGTGAGAAAAATTGAAAAATGAAGAAAAGGAGCTTATTCCTATCTATTTTGCTGTGGTTTAAGATTTAATTGTAAATGACGAGATTCTTATACATGAAAAAGAAATTAAGAATGCCGAATTGAGCTGAATGTTAAATTTAATGATATCTCTTATACTACGCTAAAAGTAAACAGTATGACGTTATCCGAATAAGCCAATTAAAGGATGTCATGAGCAAAATCTGTCTCCAAGGAAAAGTAAGAATATTTTTGGCTCTATTTTACATGTTTACTTGAAAAAGATAAATTCCTTAACACAGCCATAGGAATAAATCATAAACAAAGTTTCTTTTTTTGAAGAAAAATTTTTCATTTTTCTAATGAAGTCTCTTTTATAAGCCTAAAAAAGCTTTTAAACTCGCGTAATACCTATGTAGACAATGGTGTCTTAAATAAATTTACTTGGTTGCACGATATTGATAAACTGATTACCATGCATTTGAGTAATATATATTAACTACTTGAACGCAGCATGTAACTTGTTTTAGAGTGGATAATTGTATTTGTAAGTCCTACAATTATTCCATAAATTTAGATTCGTACTTTCAAATCACCGAAAGGATTAAAGTCTTTAAATAAATACCATACAAATGGTTACAATTGTAGTTTTTTTTTAATTCTTTTAATTGGTCGGAAAAAATGGAATTGGTCGGAAATTTTCGGAAAAAATGCTCCTTTTTTAAGATTTACTTAAATACATTTTTTCAATATCTAAACAATAAAACTTTGAAAAGATTTTAACAATATTTAACATTTCAAAGAATACATAGACACAAATCGAAGATGTTTTTCAATTATTTATTTATTTTTATACTCAAGTTGCCATTCATTTTCATGCTCAAGAAAATACAAAAAATGCATCTAGAATACAAAAACAGGACGAAATCATTATAATAGAATACATAATATGAATTCAAATGCTTGAATATCAAATAGCGCAACTCCATGAATTTAACGAACCATGAAATTGAAATGAAAAAAACTCTTTGATAGAAAAAAAAATCGGAGCTATTGAATAAAACCTTAGATTTGCACAATATGTATGGAATATGCACAATAAAGGAGACGTATAGTAAACGAATTAAAAAAGCTATAGAATAGACTAATATTCGCTAAATACCGTACATCATTTTATCCTATGTTGAATTTTTTGACTGGATAATTGAATTTGTGACGATGGAAACGTGAATTACTGAGTTTAAAGGCTTTTTCCCTCGCTTTAGAACTCGACCATGAAACCCACGAAACGGAGAAGATGAAGAGATGAATAATGCGTTTTATATCACTGAGGTTGAAATGAACTCTTTTGTTCGATGGAGATCTCTGGGTGTTTTGTGAATATGAATTCTAGAAAAGCGGGGTCTCTTTTAAATTGATTTTATTCTTATCTTGGAAAGATGTATGACCTAAGTTAGAAGATTAAATATAAATTCATAAAAAAAGAGATGAATCGGGTCTGTAAGAAAATTTTGTCGATGATGAAAATATTTGGAAAGAATAGTTTCAAATATAACAGCATTTCAGTTTTTTTTTTATTCGGTTTCAGAAAAACATAAACCTTTCAATTGGCTGGCTATTAATGGTGGTGTCTTTTACCTTTGACACAGAACACACTTTTCACATTTTTTTCACTAATTAGTATTAACTTAGGTCAAAAAAAGTGAAAATTTTATATCTACCCTTTTAATTATTTTCGGTTATTAAAAACATCGTGAAACACAGGTGTCTTTTTTCTGCGTTAAAGGTAAAATCTTCCAAACGCGACTCACTTCCGAAAAATAATATTTAAAATTTGTGCTTGTTTGCAGTTATCTAAGAGAAAATATACTCTTCTCACGAATGATCAGAATAATTCTGATAACAAAGCAATGTGTGTACAAAAAGTTTCTAATTACAGAAATAGATTCAGAGGTTTTAGTGAAATAAGCAAAAAGGGAAATTAAAGAGTCCCAACTTTCCTGGCTAAATTATTAGGACTATATATATTCTAAATTATGGTTATTCTCATATTTTTGTTGACGATTTAAACGCTGCTTAGTATCTACAAAAATATGCGTCATAATTACAAAAATATGTGCTATAACATGTCAAAAATATGTGTAATAATTTTATAATACTACATTTTTATCTGCTTTTGTTTTGTTAAGCCTAGTTCAAATATTCTCTCTTTGTGATTCGATTTACAGACTAATTTCATTTTAAGAACAAGTTTGTCTTACTTAATAGTGTACCTTAACAATAATTTTACTGTACATGATGTCTTATTTTTATCATAAATTTTAGTGTTACTGAACATCTAAAATATTAGCTATTCTTAGAGCCTAATTTAGAAATTCGGAAACTCTAGTCACAAAACTGATGGAACCCCATTGGTTCTTAAATTTAAATATTGTTCATTTAACAAAATGCTTTTGAAATTTTTGTAACATAAGTAAATTATAATATATATTATGAATTTGTGCTTGTATCTACTTCAATTTTCGATAAATCATAATTCTAATCAGCAATTCTAGAGGAAAAACACGCAAAAAAAAATTTGTAACTTTTTTCAAAAATCAAATTCTTTTTCTTATTTAAAAAATGCTTAACATGGAAGCGGGTCATTAAACATCACTATATCGGAAATACGCAGCCCGAACCACTCAAGCTTTACAGTAAATCAGATCATTTTACACCCAAAACAAAAGGGTAAAAGAAGGCTCTTGTTGCTTCACTACACCTAAAATTATCTTAGTGTCTTATTTTACCAAGAAAATTGTCTCAGGTGCTCCACTATACCATTTTTGGAGCAGACTTGCTGAGTTTGGCAAATAGTGATATTGGCAAATAACAACTTTTGGTGTAAAATAGTTGCCACGATTTTTTGGTGTCGCGATTCTCAAGTATTTTTTAAGAATGTGCTTTGGGAACGCTTAAATGTACATTTGGTACCATACCCCGTTGAGGTTTGGGGAAATCAAAGACCTATAAGATACACTAAAGTTATACTATTTTGGCAGTTAGGTTAAACTAAAAATTTTAACAGTGCACTTCAAGATGCTTTAAGATAGTTACTTAATACCATCATCCACTGAGGTGACTTGGGATAGTTAATTAATGCTGTTTAGTTCAGTAAGATCAAAACACATTCCTTCAACTGCACTCCTCATGTATATTTTTGTTTTAATAAAATAAATTTAATTTTCAACAGTAAATAAAAATAAACAGGAAATTAATTTTCCATATACCGTAAAAGAACTTGCAAATTAATACAAATACAATCCTAAAAGAATAAGAAACAATTGTTAAAACTGTCATGGAAAAGTTGATAAAAAGATTTCCCCACTTCATTTATAAAATACAAAGAGCATTTTTGAATATAATTCCAAGGTAATTTAAAATAGTTACTTTTATTTAAAAACATTTATTCATGAATAATCTTTTTTTAAAAAACACAAAAAAGTTTACTTTTTTAATATTTTCTTAAAAATAGATTTAGCTGGAAAAAAAAAACAAATCCTTAACGTTATAAAAATTCCGATAATTAAGATTACATCTTAATTAGGTAAAAAATCAAGATGAAACTTATTGCCAGAAAATGTGCTTGACTTTTATAAAAAAGGCAGACAAATAAAAATATTAAAAAAAAGTGAAAAAAGTACTATAATTACTTTTGATGATAATGACACTAACAGAAAAAAATTATCTGTGAAACAAAAAAAGACTAACGCAACGCAAGTAATTAACTTTTATAACTGTGAATCATAATAGGATTTTTCGAGACAAATACTTCAAGGGTATTTTATGTTCAATAAGCTGAGAATAATTTACGCTAAAAAATATATCCATTCTATTTTACCTTATTAGTAACATACAAATATAATACATTTAGTGGAATAATATT